GAGAACCAATAAGGCCAAAAGTTGGTTCTTGGAGAAAAAAAAAAAATTCAATATGGCAAAACTAATCGGTATAAATATAATCAATATAAAGGATGAAAAACAAAGAGGTATTACTGTAAACCTAAGTGTACGGTGAATAATTTCATGCCCCAAACTGGAAAATTCAGGTGAAAACAGAAAAATTCCTGTAATTAACAAAATTAACACACAAAGAAGATGGAAACATTGAAATAACCCTGTGTCTCTTAAAGGAATTGAGTCTATAAATTAAAAAACAAGACCCCAAAAAAAAACCTTCCCCTAAAGGAAACTCGAGGTCCAGGTGGTTTCCGTTTTTAATACCTCCATAAATATAAGGAGAAAATAAAATCATATTTTTCATGTGAAATGTCTTGCCACTTGTGGGTTGTTTTTTTTTTTTTAATTTATTGTAGAGACGAGGTCTCACCAAGTTGCCCAGGTTGGTCTCGAACCCGTGGGCCCAGGCAATTCTCTCAACTCGGCCTCCCAAAGTGCCGGGATTATAGGCATGAGCCCTGCGCCCGGCCGTCACTTGTGGGTTTTATAGCTCTGAGAACCCAGCATGATATATACAAGGGTACTTGAAGGAGGCAGTGATTCACCCACTGTCACTCACCCAGGAGTCATCATTGAATTGCTCTGTAGTAGGCACCGTGCCAGCTGGTGGTGGAACAGGGCACACACCACCCTGGCCTGTGGAGAGAGTCAAGTTCATGGGGAGGCAGACGCGTCATGGTCCAATCAGCAGCTTACCGAGATGGGATGGGACACATTTAACAAAATTTGGGTAAGAAGGAAGACTAGGCCGGGCACGGTGGCTCAAACCTGTAATCCCAGCACTTAGGGAGGCCGAGGAGAGAAGATTGCCTGAGCCCATGGGTTCAAGAGCAGCCTGGGCAACTTGGTGAGACCTCATCTCTACAATAAATCAAAAAATTAGCCAGGCGTGGTAGGGCACACCTGTAGTGCTGGCTACTTGGGCGGCTAATACAGAAAGATCGCCAGAGCCCAGCAGGTCGAGGCTGCGCTGGCTGTGGTCATGCCACTGCACTCCAGCCTGGGTGCTGGAGTGAGACTCCAACTCAAAAAAAGAAAGAAAGAAGAGTAGATGAGTAAGAAAGACCTGGGCGAGACTCCACACTTTGGGGTTGAGTTTGGCCAGGGGAACTGCTGTGAGTATTCTCAGTGAGGAATTAGACCTCACCCATATGTGGCAGGCGGAGAGCACAGAGGATCAGATGTCAGATCACTAGCCCCCCCCAAAGCACTGGCACATGCTCAAGGGGAGTCAGACGCAAGTCCAGATACCCACATAGTACCTTGGGGCACCCGCAGAGAGGTCTTGGGAACTGCTGTCCCCATGAGGCCACTGCACGACTGGTCAGCAGGGAAATGTGCTGGGTGCATGGGTGCAGAGCCAAGGAGACTTGCCAGGGACCCTAGTTCTATGCATCCCTGTGTCTGACCATTGTACCCTCCCCAGAGCCACGGCGGCTGCTTCCTTCTACCATCCCCGTCTCCAGTAAGGTCCTCTTCTGACCAACCCTAATCCAGAATTCACCAGTGAACGGGATTCAGGGACACAGTTCCCAGATCACTTGCCAGGTGACATGCCCAATTCAACACAAGGATGTGAGCTCCGTCTCTTGGACACGTATGATGTAGAACTTTAGATTGAGAAGGGACCACACCTCAGGAGTTGGCATGGCCCTTGTCAGGAGCATGACATGAAGCCTGGGTAGCACGTTCCATTCCTGGGGTGCCGTGCACACAGCCCTGTCGCTAATCTACCTCTGAAACCATCTTCTCCCACGACCACAAAAGTAAGTGCTACTGTTCTCTAATGCTGCGAAAACAGTCACCGGCAGATTTTACACTGATAAAAACTTGGTAAAGCTGTCGTTGTACAAACCTTTTAGGATAGATCGAGATAACGTATCCCATGGTAAAAACAAGAGTAAAATAGTTCTGAGAACTGTGAAGCTGTCATCCTTTTTCTAAATGACTTGATCCAACAGACGGGTGGTTTTTAATCACTGACCCCCTTTTTCTGTCGCCATGTGACCAACATCTCTTCATTTTGATGGTGTAAGGAGCCAGGCGCGGTGGCACACGCCTATTATCCCAGCACTTTGAGAGGCTGAGGCAAGAGCATTGTATTGCCTGAGCCCAGGGGTTCGAGAAAAAAAAAAAGGAACTGAGCCACTGCTTTGTGCTAGCCATTTTACTAGGCAATTCGATAGTGGTATTTTGGGTGGGGTTAGTCTAAATCATGAATATTTTTTTTCCTGAGCCTCAATTTCTTGGAATAATAAAATCAACCTTATCCTCTTTAAGAAGAGGCTGGCCAGGTGTGATGGCTCATGCCCGTGATCCCAACATTTTGGGAGGCTGAGGTGAGAGGATTGCCTGAGCCCACAGGTTCAAGACCAGCTTGGGCAACTTGGCAAGACCTTGTCTCTACAAAAAAAAAAAATTAGCCAGACATGATGGTGCATGCCTGTGATTCCACCTACTTGGAAGGCTCAGATGGAAGGATCGCCTGAGTCCAGCAGTCGAGGCTGCGGGGGCTGTGAGCATGTGACTGCACTCCAGCCTGGGTGACAGAGTGAGACTCCGACTCAAAAAAAAAATAGTTGAGACCTGCCCAGGATCAGACAACTGGTAAGTGGCAGGACTAAGACATAAACCAAGGTGGAAAATTCAGAAGGAGCTAGAATCCAGGGGACACATGGAAGCTGAAAAATACCCAGAGGTGAGCCACTCAGGCACTCTGGCGTGAGCAGTGGCAGTTGTGTCACGGAGCATGGTAGGGATCGCAGCTCAGCCCGTGACAGCCGTGGCTGGTCCTCCTCCAGGGTGTCTCCCAGTATGCTGGGGCCACAGCAGGTAGCATTTCCTTTCCTTCTTCCTCCCCGCCTTTTTCCATTCTTTTCCTCTCCCTATCTGTGTATGGTCCCTGCTCCTTCACTTTGTTTCTTTGTAACAGAATGTTCCATCTATCCAGCCCACTGCTGAGTCCTGTCCTGTGAGCAACTTCCAGCACTTGCAGAGAGGCTGAGCAGATATGCCCCAAACATGGTCCCTGTTTCTCCCGCACCTATAGTTTTGTTATGGGAAGCAGTTTCCCCTACTCACAGAAATTGCCACTGCGGCTGATAGGATCCCCTCTGCTCCTTAAGCAGACGTTGAGTTCACACCCTCCCTCTGAAGGTGGTTGTGACAATCATTAAAACACAGCATTAATTGCCTGGTGTGGTGACTCAAGCCTGGAATCCCAGCCCTTGGGGAGGCCAAGGCGAGAGGACTGCCTGAGCCCAGGGGTTCAAGACCAGCCTGGGCAACTTGGTGAGACCTCGTCTCTACAATAAATCAAAAGTTGGCCAGGCACAGTGGCTCACGCCTATAAACCCAGCACTTTGGGAGGCTGAGGTAAGAGTATTGCCTGAGCCCACGGGTTCAAGACTAGCCTGGGCAACTTGGTGAGACCTCATCTCTACAATAAAAAAATTAACCAGGCGTGGTGGCGCGTGCCTGTAGTTCCAGCTACTTGGAAGGCTCAGGTGGAAGGATCACCTGAGCCCTGCAGTTCGAGGCTGCAGTGGCCATGAGTGTACCACTGCACTGCAGCCTGGGCGACAGAGTGAGACTCCAACTCAAAAAATAAATAAATAAATTGAAAGCTTAGCTAGGTGTGGTGGCATGTGCCTGTTCCAGCTACTTGAAAGGCTGAGGTGGAAGGATCACCTGAACCCAGCAGTTCGAGGCTGCAGTGGCAGTGAACATGCCACTACACTCCAGCCTGGGCGACAGAGTGAGACTTCAACTCAAAAATAAATAAATAACTCGAAAGTTTAGCTGGGCATGGTGACACGTGCCTGTAGTTCCAGCTACGTGGAAGGCTGAGGCAGAAGTATTGCCTGAGCCCAACAGGTTGCGCAGTGATCATGAGCATGCCACTGCATGCCAGCCTGGGCGACACAGTGAGACACTGACTCAAACAAAACAAAACAGCAAAACACAGCAGTAATACAGACACCCAGCTGTGTGGGCCCCTTCCTTGTCCTCCCCTGAGCCTCCATACCCATCTTGAGGGTTGTCTGGAGGACTATTCTCGGGTGGCAGGCCCTGGTGTTCTCTGTGCCCTGTGTTCACTGGGTGTGCAGCAGACAGCGTGGCCAAGGCCTGCATCTGGGGCAGGGCGGGGGTGGGGGCTGGCGAGAACCGAAGGAAAACTCTTCCACTTAAGCAGTTCAGCAATTCTGTGTACAGAGAAGTCAGGGGAAGGCTGGTGTGTGAAGACAGGCAATACCAGGGACCCAGGATGCAATTCAAAAACTTGGTGACAAGCTGGGCTCGGTGGCTCAGCCTGTAATCCCGTACCTTTGGGAGGCTGAGGTGAGTGGATTGCCTGAGCCCGCGGGTTCGAGACCTGCCTGGGCAACTTGGCGAGATCTCATTTCTACAGTAAATCAAAAAATCAGCCAGGCGTGGTAACACATGCCTGTAATTCCGGCTACTTGGAAGGCTGAGGCGTAAGGATTGCCGGAGCCCAGCAGGTCGAGGCTGTGGTGGCCGGGAGCGGCCACTGCACTCCAGTCTGGGCGACAGAGTGAGACTCCAACTCAAAAAAACAACAACAACAACAAAAACTTGGTGACAACTGCCCCGTTGTTCTCCAGTACCAACACTCGAGGCCTCTGAAGCCCATTAAAGGGACCACACCTGTATCTTCCTGAAGCAGGAATGGGGGTTCCGGGCAGCTTTTTGTTATCCCTTCCACCTACCCTCTGCCCGACTTGGCCAGTTATCTCAGCAAGATGCAGGAGCCCAGGACCAGCATGGGCCTGGTTCTCAGCCCCACCTTTACGGGGCATTTCTTGTTTCCACTGCCGCTGGCTCCCCACGTCGGGGCTCCCATGCTCCTCAGGGCCGTCTGTGCATCCTGGCTTGACAGTTTTCTGCCTCTCTCTCTCCAGGGTCAAGTGTGGATTAATGGCTTTAACCTTGGCCGCTATTGGCCAGCGCGGGGCCCCCAGGTGACCTTGTTTGTGCCGCAGCACATCCTGATGACCTCGGCCCCAAACACCATCATGGTGCTGGAACTGGAGCGGGCCCCCTGCAGCGGCGATGGCCTCGAAAAGTGTGCTGTGGAGTTCGTGGACACACCAGTTATCAACACAACAGTCCCCTCTGGGGCTGGACCATGTGTGATGATGAAAACCGGTGACTCGGAGGTGCTGGCCCTGCCCATACCTCACGCGTTCTCCCTATCGTGCCACCGTTCCCCAGAGAGCGCGGTGGGAAAATGAACTTCGGGCGCCCGCTTTCCCCTTAGTCTCCCTTCAGCCCTTCAGTGCCTGATCCCCGGCCTCGGGGCCACCCGGGGTGTGCGAGGGGCCCGACAGCACAGTAGCACAGAGATGTATCTGCAGAATCAGAACGGAAGCTTCACGAGTGTTTCTGATTTTTATTTCGGAAGAATCATGTTGTCTTTTTGTTCAATAAAATTTGTACTCAAATGATGTTACTGTTTTTAATGTTGAGCCGGTATTAAATTATATAGTCTGACTTAAATCATAACTAGACTTGAGTGGGCTGAATAAAGCCACTTCATTAACTTGAAGTTCAAAGGGGCGGAAAAGTGTCTTGGTTTCCTCTGGTGGGCTATTGCTTTTCTGATCCTTATTTGACTTGCTTTTGAATTTCTGTGATAGCTACTAGGCAGCCCTTAAATAAAGCTCAAAACAATTATTGTGACAACCTAAATGACGAACAGTTGCAAAGCGTGTACACCGCGTGGTCCACCTGCACGATCGGGTAGTATTTTAGCCATTAAAATGATGGTGCGGGTCTATACAGAGGGTGTCAAAAATATATATACACATTTTAAGAAAGGAAAAAAACTGTTAAAATTGTAATCATAAAATTAATCCAGACCAGGCATGGTGGCTCAGCCTGTAATCCCAGCACTTTGGGAGGCCAAGGTGGCAGGATAGCCTGAGACTGGAGGTTCAAGACCAGCCTGACCAACTTGGTGTGACCTCATCTCTACAATAAATCACAAAAACTTAGCCGGGTTTGGTGGCTCAGCCTGTAATCCCGCGTTTTGGGAGGCTGAGGTGAGTGGATTGCCTGAGCCCGCGAGTTTGAGACCTGCCTGGGCACTTGGTGAGACCTCATCTCTACCATAAATTAAAAAA